AATCATGCAGATCTTGTGGCTTATGGTCGTATATTCTTGGCCAATCCAGATTTGCCTAGGAGATTTGAACTCAATGCTCCTCTCAATAAGTACAACAGAGAGACTTTCTATACACTGGATCCTGTTGTTGGTTACACCGATTACCCATTTTTGGAGCCCATTGCTTGAGTTTTCTAGATGCAGCTAGCCATCTGCAAATTGTTGTTTGGTTTCTTGATATCGTATGATATATTCTTGCTGTATGATTATATATGGAAGAATATAACATTCCAATAATAAAATACCATCATGTTATTTTTACAATTTTCTTGAAAATCTTCATTTGGTTGATTATGGAGCTTGTTCACGTGCTGACAGAATGACTTTTGTGTTCACAATTCTACCATTTGGGGAAAGGGCTACATCTCTTTGAAGAAGCTCCATCTTTGGTTCAAGTGCCACCACGTGAAAGAGATGACTGGAGTTTACTGGCCCTGTGCTTTGTTTTTTTTTTGATAAAATTACAGGCCCTGTGCTGCTGGATAATTGTTAGTGTTTTTATCACTGCCCCTTGTATCCAAGGTTTTTTAAACCGGACCGGATCACCGGTTGAATCGGTCAGACCGATACCCAATAATAAAAATGGTTTGATTTATACAAAAAAACCGTTTGAGGTCAAAACCGGTCAAAACCGATGAAACCAGAAAAATCACCGGTTCAATTTCTCATGCAATTTCTTTTCTATTTTTTCTAATTTCACCCTCACCATTCTTTTCTTATACCGATTTTAACCCTTAATTTTAATAAAATTACAAAATTGCTTGCCCCTCTCATCAGATTTCCTTTGTTGTTTGGACCAATTGGTTCACCAGTTCAACCAATTGAACCGATCAAACTAAAAACCGGACCTAAAGATGGTTCAATGATCGGTTCGATTTTAAAAACCTTGCTTATATCCCCCCACCCCCCCACAAAAAAAGGGAAAAAAGAAGAAGAAGAAGAAGATGATGAAGAATGACTTTTTGTGTTGCGTGGGAAAAGATTTTTTCCTATTACAACTAAAAATGCCTCTTGGACCTCCCTGAAAGTATGGCTGTAAATTTGTACAAATACAACAAGGAGATAAGACAGACTAGTTAGATTCTCTTGCCTTTCAAAATAGCAGAAGTTACTAGCCGGACTTATTAATTCATGGAGTTGATTTGCAAAGAATGGTTTTTAAAATAAAATCTTACAATAATCATATGAGATTAAATGAATTGATACATAATAACTCACATATTTTATAGAGTTAGTAAAATGATCAATAACATATGTTTATTGTTGTTTTATCACAAATAGATATAATTATGATATCAGCCTTTGGGGTTGTTTGTTTTAGTCATTTTAACATGCAACAATTATGAAATGTTGACTATTTAATCAGATAAATATTAGTATTTGAGTTATAAAGCAACAATTATCAAAATCATGTAGATCTTATGGCTTATGGTCATATATTCTTGGCCAATCCAGATTTGCCTAGGAGATTTGAACTCAATTCCCCTCTTAATAAGTACAACTAAGGGTGTTTGCAGTGTAGTTTGGTTCAGATTTTAATATTTTTTAAATCAATCTAATTTAATCAGTTAATAAAATTTTTAAACCAATCTAATCCACTATTATATGATAACCAAATCAATCCAACTTAAATCGATCAGTGTAGTTTAATCGAATTAATCGGTTTTTAACATTATTAAATATATAAGATAATGTAAAAATATTTTAACATCAAATAGAAAGCATAACCATAAAACACATTAGCATGCAAATCAGTAAAAACATAATAAAAAGTACAAATTATAAACGAGTTCTTATACTCCTTTACATTTGTAAAAATTGAAAAGATTTGAAAATTTTTCTTGGTTACAACACTAGAGGCACCAAGAACAACAAAAGATGACTCAAGTTTCTAGTATAGCGTAAATAATTCTTAAAAATTAAAATTAGTTTTTTTCTTAATGCACTAATAATTTAATCTTATCTTCTAAATTCTGTTAAAAGTGAATAAAATTTAATATGAATATCACTAAAATTGATTAGAAGCATTTATAATCAAAATTTAAAATTTCTAAACCAAATATCCAAGAATAGTAAAATATCAAAACTAATTTTATTATATAGTTTTAAGACTTTTAGAATGATACGTATTTAAAACTTAGTTAAGAGAATCATAAGATTATTTTAAGAATAAATTAGAAATTTAGGATTCTAAGAGTAAAGCCGTAAACCAGTTTTGAGTGGATAGAGTTGCAGGTGAATTAGAAATTTAGAATTAGGGTTAGAGTGCATGATTAAAATGGAAAAATAACTTAGGGAATACAGATATATTCTATTTTTATTTTTTAATTACATTAATGGAGTTATTATCTTGTAAAATAAGAAAAAGCAATTTTAAAATATTACAAAAAATATATTATGTTTTTTAATTAAGTTATCTTCTAATCAAATTTTATTTTGTAATCGGGCAGTTCGGGCGGTTTGAAGATAAAATCACAAACCAAACCAATTATATCGGTTTTAAAATTTTATAATTCGAACCAACCCAATTTTATATCGGTTTAGATCATTTTTTGATTAGATTAGATCAGTTTAGGTTGGATCAATCGGATTGAATTGGATATGAACGCTCCTAAGTACAACATATAGATATTTTGCACTTTTTAATCTTGTGCTTTTTAAATTTGTTGTTTGTTACAGTAATTATTCATTTTTAGAGTTTGATAAATTGGAATTTTGTTGATATTAATGTGGAAATTTTTTTCCCTTAATATTATTGCTATTTGAATGAGTTTCATGAGATTTTACATGAATTTTCATTTTTTGTGCAAGAAAGGAGTTACTTGGATGAAATCAAAACTTTTA